GCATGAAAAAAATATTAGTTTTTTTCTTTATGCAAACATCGTAAAACAAAAAAAGCAAAATTATTTTCATCCTTTTTTCAGATAACCCTTTCATATGGCATTAAATAAGTATATGTTTTTTCTTAAGCAAACATGGTAAAAGAATTTTTTGAAAAATATTTTAATCCTTCCATCTTTTTTCTTGATCACCCTTTAAAAATATGAATAAACAAATAACTGCCACACAGCATCACTGAGCATACATCTAGCTAAGTGGTGGGCATTAATGAAGGTCAGCTTTCTCAAAACTGAAAGAGGGCGCTTAAAGATCCAGTCTAGACAAAAAGACTAGACTTAGTGGGAGCATTACGGCATTACCGAACTTCCGTGCCAGATTGAATTATATTTCTATGGAATTACTTGGAACCGGTAACTTAATTACTGGCTAATTGCTCCTCTCACTCCAACCCTTACAACCCCTCCCTTTTGAGGGTTTACCAAATATAACACACCACATTTGCTAAGTCAAGTTACGACCATGTCTGAAACAGCTGGATATCCTGAAACCCTTTGAATACTATTTCTTCAGTCATCTCATTGCAGATTTTATGTACGCTTCATCTTAATCCTCATGAACTCTCAGTAATTTCTTCATGCTTCCTGTATCATTGGAAAACAAGTGGTGCTGGGCGCTGTGATCAGTCTGTACAAAATGTATGTTAATTGTGATAAAAAAACCATACATCTTCTAAGGGCTTTCAATGTGTATAGATACTTTTTTATGAAATTATTATTTTTTTCTCAGTGGTAAATTATATACATAAATAAATAAAAATAAAAAAGGCTATGAGGATCACACTTATCTTTCATAATTCTATTTATTATCAGAAAACATGGTGTAAGAAATTAACTATAACAATATGAAAGAATCATGTTTTCCTTAACTTGTTTTTAGTAGCATATGTTATTCAACATGACAACAACAATATTGTATGAGTATGCGAGTCCAAATGAAACGTCAAAGCATCAACTATAATAAAACCATAAAATACAAACACACTGCCCCTGTCTTGTCTGTTATATGTTCAAGGTGATCAAGGAAAGTGGACCACTATACTATCAAGACCTGCTGGCTACTTCAGGCCAGATTCGGGGGCACGGGTGGCCAGTCTTCTAAGGCGCCGCAGTTCGCTGTGCATCCCTTGGACACGCCAGAAACCTATGATTGTGGGTTCGAATCCCACTTCACCCCGATCATGTTTCTAGGTTTGTCAGCACCATACCCGTGCTCGTGGGTTTCACCGAAGTGGTAAACGTCTAAGGCCTGCATTACTTCGGGCTTTCCTCCCACATTTAGCTGACACGCTGTGATATAACTGGAATACTGTTAAAAGTGGCGTTAAACCCAACTCACTCACTCACTCAGGCCAGATTCAGGCCAGAAGAGAATTTGTGCTCATTGATCAGTTGGTGGAAATAAAATTTAAAACGGAACACACAGTAGATTGTTCTCCTTGAGTAATCTAAACATGATGCCATGGGTGCTGCTGTAACCTACTGTCATGCAAGGTTACCCACTGCGAGCACAATCTTTTGTAATTCTTTGCCATGTGTACTAAACATGTTGTACAGCCAGTTATCATACCTCCAAGTCAGATGATATCTGATTGGTCACGTGATCTTGATCAAATGCAATGTATCCCACCATCGAGGGGAGAACAAATTTCTCAGCAGGTGAATAAATCCCTTATACCCCATCACAAGCAAGACAGGCTGCACGTGGATTTCTGAGAGACAGAGTAAATTCTTTATACCCAGCATCAAAGCAAAAAGCAGCATGTTTTTCTGAGTCAATGAAAGTCATGTGACATATCACAAGCTAACCTCCATTCAAACAAACAGCTGTTTTCTATTAATTTTTTGTTTTAATTCTTTCACAATGTCACATTAAAACATGTCGGTTAGATACATTCGTTGTAGCAGGATCAATCGGGATACATGGGGTTTTATGCGAGGCTTGAATTTTATACCACTCGTCTCTGACTCATGGTACAGAACTAACGCGGGACGCATAAAACCCCATCTACCCATCGTGATTCTGCTGCAACTTATATCGTAACCTACTCTCATGCAAGTTCTGCGAGCACGATCTTTTGTAATTCTTTTGCCATGTGTGCAAAACACGTTGTCATGAAAGTTAACCTGGCTGCGCAATCTTCTGCCATTCTCAATGCTTAGGTGCGTAGAACACAAAAAATCTGCCAAAAAAAATTAAGGCAAATAACCATGTTCATAATGACTTGCAGGAATCTTTTTCTAAACTACTCCATCAACCGAAACACATTAAATATGTCACACAAATATTGTGGAACCACGTAAGATAAAATAGGGGTTGAAGGTTTAAAACATGGTTATATAAACAAGGAGCCATGTACATAGCAACACTCATGGTACATTTTTGGCGCTTAATGTTTGGTAAGGATAGAGTCTTTATAGGGTTGGCATCGAACTGATGTTCTTTGGATATGACTTCAGTAAATTGGTATTTATGGAGGAATAAATGTAAAAATCAGTTTGCACATTGTAAATCCACATGGCACACTAGTTTTTACATTTATTACCCAATAATCACAAAAAGTACTGAAGCTATTTCTTATATTAATAAATATGTCAACAATATTAATTTCACAGACAGATTATCCGATCATTAACACATAACACTGCAGACAACAATAGGAAAGCAGTGACAACCAGGTCCAAGTAGATCGCCTGTTACGACACACCTAACCTACTGAAACTCAAGTGTCCACATGAGTGCCAACGCAAAGATTATATTCAGTGAGAATCTGAGTTCTAGCCACTTGGATCCTGGCATGGCTAAGGGAAGCAACTCTCCACAAATTGTATGACCTTAGACAAATAATCCTGATAATTCAAATGGTGTTTCTTCAAGTGGCATGATATAGCCCAGTGGATTGTGGCTCACTTGAAACTGGGTTTGAATCCACACATGGACACAATGGATGCAATGATATGGTTAAAATACTGAAGTGTTACTACAGATATTCATTGTGAATTATTGCACCAGTCAAACCAGCTTAACCTTATCTATTGCTTTGTACATGCCCTTGTGTGATTGAAATTTTAAATAAAAATCTAAAATAATTTATCAAAATGTTATTTTGCTGAAAGAGAAATTATCCATATTCCATTTAGAACATTAAAGTAAAAATAAAAAAGTCCCTTTGAGATAAAAGCTCAAAGAAAATGTATATAATCTGTATACAAATCACACAGAAATATTGTATGTTAAAAGCCAGGAAGAGAATAATATGAGAAGCATATATTATGATAGATATAAAATATAGGTAATATTTGGTATATAAAGAAATACATTTGATACCCATTCACCCGGGTGCATAACCTACCAGATAGAGTTCTCTCCCCTTGAAATGGAAATCAAATCTCATGAATGCTGAGGTGGGGGACAATGCTGAGTGAGCAATGTGAGAGTTGATACATAACAAACATGTCTGGGAAATATGCAGCAGAACCAAATCAACGTCAAACCATTTCTATTTCGGTCCGTTAGCAGCCTTGATACTAAAGAAAACATGTTTTCGTATCCCAACCTTACTCAGGCAGGCTGCAAGATTTTCAGATAAAGCTTCAATTACAATCTGATTGAACAAACGTCCTCAAGGCACATAAAGTAAATAACCTTCGTTTACAAACTTGCCAAAAGCTGTTAAGATTGGTATTGAACTATTGACACCTATTTGTAATTCTGTAAATGTGCCCGATTAAAAAATATACAGTTTTATACTTAGCAACCAAATCAGCAAATTAACACGAAAGCCCCAAATCACCAACCAATGGTCAAAACGTGCATAATGCTCTTTGCTAAATAATTCTTTGAAAAGGGAATACCGTATTTCCTCTATAAGAAGGACAGGCGTGGACTCTACGTGTATTTGAGGCCTGGCGTCTATTCTGTTTAAAAAAAGCACTGTAGCAGCTCACTACCTTACCGATTCCCAAGACTTCGGTGCCACAAACAATACATTTTCAGGAAACGGTCGCCATTAATCACCAACATTTAGCAGTATCAGAGACCCCGCGTCTAATAGAGGCCAGGTTTCTATTTTTTTGATACTGCAAATGATTGGTGTCAAAGAGTGACCGGTGTGTATTGGAAATCCACTTTCTAATAGAGGAAATACGGTATGTGTCTATCCTGAAAAAATATTTCGGTAATAAGATAACTAAAATAGCAAGGAACACGACACAATCTAATCTCGTAAGACCTTGCATTCAATGGATATTATGGCAACATGTGCCCATATACACAGTGTACATGGGAAAACATCACGTGAAGTGAAGCAACATTGGTTGCCATGGAGATGGATGTTCAGCATCCCAAGTGTTTCTAGGGCGTTGGTCCTGCCCCACACTGAATCATAGGCTACTATGTTTGTTTGTTTGTTTGTTTAATGTCGCACTCAGCAATATTCCAGCCCTATGATGACGGCATGTAAATAATTGAGTCAGGACCAGAAAGTCTAGTGATTGACATCATGAGCATCGATCCTTGCAATTAGGATACGATGACATGCATCAACCAAGTCAGCGAGCCTGACCACCCGATGCCATTAGTCGCCTCTTACGACAAGCATAGACACCTGCTACAGCAACTATGGGTTGCTGAAGACCTACTCTACCCAGGAACTTCATGTTACACGTATTTCCCTAGGCAAGTGACTTTGTTCAAACTATGCCTCTTTTTACCTGGTAGGATTTTGTGTGTAAAAGGCAGCTTGGGTTGTATAATCCCCAGGGAGCTGAGAATGTACTTCAAGAGCACACTGACTAGGGGCATCTGATCTGGTACATTGTAAATGGACGTATTATCATATTCAATGAAGCCCTCATAAAATGATTACATCAAACCCGCTCTCGGTTTGTGATCAATACTAACAAAAAGGCCTAGATGCCCTGACACCCAGCACAATTTGCCTTACCTTGTCGTAGTCTTTCAATCTGTGGTGGAGGTCGGCTACTTCAAACGTCAGTTGAGTATTTCTGGCCTCTGAAGTCTTGAGGTCTGTTTCCTGCAAATTAAAATGTCATAAGAGTTTCTGTTCTGTTCTGTCTTCAAACAAAACCAGAAAGGTTCGGCTTTTTCAAGAGCAAGAGCAAATCTTTTGGTTAGTTTTCTTATTTGGATTCTATTATTAATACAAATCCCAAGAATTGCATATCCGACAGTGATCCGGGAAATCCCAATATGGCTTTCTGCTGACTCATCAAAAAGATTTGAGTGGGTGAGTGAGTGAGTGAGTGAGTGAGTGAGTGAGTGAGTGAGTGAGTGAGTGAGTGAGTGAGTGAGTGAGTGAGTATGGTTTTACGCCGCTTTTAGCAATATTCCAGAAATATCATGGCAAGGGACACCAGAAATGGGCTTCACACATTGTACCCATGAAGGGAATCGAACCTGGGTCTTGGGTATGACGAGCAAACGCTTTAACCAATTGGCTATCCCACCACCCCAGACTTTGGTCAAACCAATGAGCACAGGTATGGTGCTGACAAACCAAGAAACATAATCATTAATGTGTCACCTTAGCCTACTGGACCACCCGGTGTCCTTTGAAAAGAAGGATCAGATTCTACACACCATAAACACCAAACATTTGTTTGTTTGATTGTTTATTGTTTAACGCCGCACTCAGCAAAATTCCAGCAATATGACGGCGGCCTGTAAATAATCGACTCTGGACCAGACAATCCAGTGATTGACATCATGAGCATCGATCCAGGCAATTGAGATACAATGACATGCATCAACCAAGTCAGTGTTAGCCTGACCACCTGATCCCATCAGTCGCCTCTTACGACAAGCATAGTCACCTTTTACGACAAGCATGGGTTGCTAAAGACCTATTCTACCCCAGATCTTCACGGGTCCCATGAGCATTCACATGGGTGGAATGGCGGATTATAAATGACCTAGAACTATCTGAGTGAAGTCCAGAAAATAAAACTTGTTTTTTAAATAAGATTACCCCTCAGGTTAGTGAAGGTGAGAAAATAACAAAGTTGATGTACTTACTAATTCTTGATTATGCTCTCTCTGTTTTCCTATGCTAGCCTTTAAAATATCACATTGTTCCGCTTTCTGTTTCAGGTCAGCATCCTGTAAAAAAAGAAGGTTTTCTTTAAAGAATATCATCACATTTACCACATGCTGTGTGTTCATAGCTGAGCATGTCAAGATAACATTGACTGTTACAATCAGGAGATAAACATTACGGCTGGGATGATACACCAACTGTGCGATACGATACGTATCACGATCCGATATTCATCACGATACCTTGCTCACGATCAAATACGAATCACGATTTGGCATGTGCTCTTATCAGTGGTGCATAAGCCATCTTGTTCAGAGACAGGATGGCCAAAATACCTGGCACACTGATGACAAACAGTGAAATTATTAACGTTGTCACTACTAATTTTCACTAGTAATTAGTGTTTTGTGTAACAATTATTATAGAATACATTTAAGGTAAATATCGATACTTTTTACTTAGTGTGCGATAGTGATTGATACTTGTATCGAGAAGTAAATCATTGCAGTCCGGCAATGCACCGGTGTATTTTCCCACGACTAATAAACACGCTATTTAGTCAATGTCGAACAACACGGAGACACAATAATTTGTTAGTTTGTTTGTTCGATGTTTAACGCCGCACTCAGCAATATTCCAGCTTTATGACAGAGGTCTGTACATAATTGAGTCTGGACCAGACAATCCAGTGATTGACATCATGAGCATTGATCAATGCAATTGGGATACTATGACATGCATCAACCAAGTCAGCGAGCCTGACCACCCAATCCCGTTAGTTGCCTTCTGACCACCCAATCCCGTTAGTTGCCTCTTACAAAAAGCATGGGTTGCTGAAGACCTATTCTACCCCAGATCTTCACTGGTAGAGACACTATGAAAATGCAAAATCAACTTTTAACTCGAAATCAGAAAAGATGTGATTTTGTGAAATGTTGGTTTGATTATCTCATGTCTAAATACCCCCAACAATTTAACTTGATTTTGAGTTCACACTGATCTATTGCTTGGGGTTATAATGTAGTGATTTATTCATGCTTTAGGGTGTGGATTTTGCTCAGAATAAATGTGTACACCTCTGATTGAGCAATTAAATTATAGTATTTTTAAAAATCAAGGTGATCACGAACGGTTTCCAGTTATCCACATTGAAAGAAGAAAATGATGATAATGATGATGATGATGATGATGATGATTTTTTACGTGTCCACCACAATACACATAAAAAGAGTAACTACAGTTTACATGGTGAGTAGTGAGTGAGTATGGTTTTACGTCGCTTTTAGCAATATTCCAGCAATATCACGGCGGGGGACACCAGAAATGGGCTTCACACATTGTACCCATGTCGGGAATCGAGCCCGGGTCTTCGGCATGACGAGCGAACGCTTTAACCACGAGGCTACCCGACCGGCCACAGTTTACATGGTACTCGCAGCAGTCTCAAGAAAGGGTTATAGCGAAACATGCATTGAATATCAGCTGATCTGTTGCAAATTTAAGTGCACAGGCCGACACAATGAGAAAATCTATCACACACAAATATGCATGGTGAAGAAAAGTATGGTACTGCAAGATACTTCACGCAGACAATGTTGGAGAAAAATAAATGGCAATGACAACACGACCACTGGCCTTGAATCACTTTTACGCACAAATACAAAGTCCAGTTGCTTCGTGTGGGTAAAGCTCAAGATTATATAGATGGTTATGACTTGGGTGAAACCTACGAGTTATGGTGCTCACACACCAAGGTCAACAGACTTGGCAAAAATTTGTGATTCAAACCTCTCACCAGCAGGTCCTGGCATGGCTAAGGGATGCAACTCTGCACCACAAATAGCTCCCACGATCATGGAGGCATTTACCCAACAAGACATGAAGAAATCTCTCACAAATAAACACAAATCAAACACAACAACGGGTCCTAAAATTAAGGAAGACAATATGATATACCATCTATTCCTGTGGCTGGAGGTCACCTTGTCAAAAGCCTGATGAATCACTACATCAATATATTGTCGGTCACATCCCTCTATGTTCGGACACAGACTTGTATGTGTCTGTGCGTGGCCATGAATGGGATACTCTCAGACCAGGAGGCCCTGCTATCACTACTGACCGATCAGGAATGGAGGTTGTTTCGGATGATTGTTTACTGATCAAAATGGCAAATATTGTCAACAAATATTCCTTCTTTTTGGCCAATCTGTTGATAAAATCTGTTTGGAAACACATTCAAAAGATTTTCACACCAGCTTAATGTGGGACCAAAGCATAGGTGACACAGGTCATGGTCGCAACAACACTTCTTCACTTGTTAGCGGATGAGTTGGTGGGTTGATTATTTTGATTATTATTATTATTATTATTGGAGCTACGGCAAAGTGACACAACTAGTATGAGTGAACATCGTTCAAATGCCACAGTAGTCCATCTATATGACGGCATTCAGTCCATAATCGAATCGAGTCTGGACCAGGCAATCCTGTGAATGACATCATGAGCATCGATCTACGCAATTGGGATACAATGACATGCATCATCCAAGTCAGCGAGCCTGACCACCGGATCACGTTAGTCAACTCCTACGACTAGCATGGATTGTAAAAGACCTATTCTAACCCACATATTCAAGGGTCAATTGAGTCTAGACCAGGCAAACCAATGATTGACAGCATGGGCAACATTTTATACCACCACTGTCACACAATAACCAAACAAAATGTGTTTTTTGTCTGTCCTGGACACATTACATAACCTCTACCGGGCCTTGTCTGTATACTTCTGGCTTCAAGTGAGGTAATGTTAAATGGCTTTTGTCTGTCCTGAACACATTACATAACCTCTCCTGGGCCTCTTTTTGCTCTTCCCTCTGATGATTACCCTCCCTCTGCACAGTATTCCTGTATATTTTGAGGGCTTTCAGAAGAGGTCATGTCATGTGGTTTTGTCTGGCCTGTACACATCACATCACCCCCCCCCCAAAAAAAAAAAAATTATGAATTGATGGAATTTTAGGAATTCTCATACATGAAAATTTATAATTTTTGTTCTTCAAAAACCTAGTTTGTAAAGCGGTTATAAAAATAATCAATTTTTGGAAAATATGAAAATGTGAAAATTACCAATATCTCCATGGGAACAAGTGACACAAACAGTCAATTATCACGCTATGAATGTTTGTCCAAGTATTCCACAATGAAGCACCTGTCATGACTGAAGGCTAGATGTAATATGACACATTAACTATGGCAAATTAAATTTCTATTTCATTTATTTCTCTCCATGTTTCCCAATTATTGACGTGAGAAATTTCAAAAGAACTATTTCAAGACCCTATGTCAATATCAGTAAATATCGAAATGTATATGTAACCTTGGCAATCTCTAATTTGCTTGAGCAGTGTAAACACTGACATATACAATGTCTATGTTTTTACCTTTGTTTGTGCATTGCAAACAGTGTGCCGGAAATCTATTACCCCGAGCATCGTGACTATTGAGCGCACACCCTTAAGTTTATATCAAGTCAGCCAAACACATCTTCTACCCTGCCTCTTCTCTGACAAGCAGCAAGTTTGTTTATAGCCAACTGACATGCATTGTTCTGTCACAGGATTTTAGCTTGGTGTAGTTAGCCTGTGTCAATCAAGCCAACAATGAGTACAAACCTATTTTTGTTCCCTGTGAAATAATGTACCGTTTTCAAACCTGTTCAAATATTTTAATCATTCTGGAATAATTGATGATGAGGTTTATATATTATTTGATGACTAGTTTTAGATATTATTTCTTCTGCTTATTGTTTTATAAACTCATTTGACAAATAAATGTTCAAATACGACATCATTGCATGGCCATGTAGGTTTCAAATTTCACAAGGGTCAAATGTCCTGTAACACCTACTACATTGATTTTGAAGGCATTGTTGGCAAAGCTTGTGAATCTGGGCTGTGGATTTGAGTATTAAATAATCATTACATCTATTCTTTGGATGTTGATTCACTAAAAAACATGCTATGATGACAAACACACAAAGTGCATCTCTAATAAAAGATTAATGTACATCAATGTGTTGGGTTGATTAAACTAAAACATTCTGACCTCATGTCAAATTATGTGTTTGTACTGGGTGAGTTTACAATAATTTAAAAAAACACTTGCCCAGATTAAACTACAATAAGTTGTCTGCCCTTTCTGACCTTGTAATGGTGGTCTGGATCTATCTGTCCTTTCATCAAAGTCAATTGTTAATCTACCAATGAACACTTTGCCATAAAAAAACCCAAAAAGGAGTGACCATTGCTGATGCGGCTTAAATTTGTTTGTTTGTTGTTTAATGCCGCACTCCAGCAATATTCCAGCTATATGACGGCGGTTTGTAAATAATCAAGTCTGGACCAGATAATCCAGTGATTGACATCATGAGCATCGATCTACACAATTGGGATATGATGACATGCATCAACCAAGTCAGCAAGCCTGACCACCCGATTCCGTTAGTTGCCTCTTATGACAAACAGGGTTATTGAAGAGGGAAGTAATCTGAGCACAACAGGAAAGCAGATTTTCCTAAAATACCGGTACCATCCTTGGCCCACCTGCACAAAGCGATCATAACGCCAAGACTATTGGAAGCACATGTTAAAGCATGAAAGTAATCAAAATTGTGCTAAGACTGCTTTGTGAATGTGGGCCCTTCGTTTACAGACGCACGTCTGCTCACAGGAATCATTGATCTCGACGATACCAAGAATCAAGCTTACATTGATTACATTTCCACATGCAGACAAAGCCTTACATAATCAGGTTCATCAGCAAGGATAGAGACAGTTGTGATATGAGCCAGGCACCTCTACGCGGGACAGACAGTGTCTCAGATAGTTACTTGAGTTTAATAGCCACTTGCGGAAGCATTTTACCAATATCAAATTGTGTTGTTCGGGTGAGGGGAGAAAAACCTACATGATGCACTCGTAGGCATACCAATTTGTTGCACATGGGGACAGACCAAGGATCTTGATTGGGCAGAAAATGGGATTCAAACCCAAGAGTGAGTG